AGAGAGAGAGAGAGAGAGAGAGAGAGCGACGAGGAAAGGAATATAAAAAGACAGAAAGATAGATTAATATTGGTTGTTTTGTTTTTGGAGTGAGGGTTGACAGGGATGAATTATAAGAGATATAGATATAGACAGATATTCTTCACAGACTGGACTAGTAGATGTACAGAAAGACAGACAAGCAGACAGACAGACAGATATAAGGCAGCAGACAGAGGACAGCAGACAATAAACAGAAGATAAAAGACAACAGACACACAGGAATAGTTTAACGACACCTTCTAGTGTGCATGTGCATGTGTGTCTGTGTGTGTGTGTGTGTGTGTGTGTGTGTGTGTGTGTGTGTGTGTGTGTGTGTGTGCGCGTGATTTTTTTATTGTAGGCATCAACACAAAGATAAGAATTTGTCTCGACATACTGACTTCATTGATGACTTAATTTGCTCTCGTTGCCCGAACATCATCCTGTCACATCTCCATTTCCTTGTTCGCCGCTGATTAAAGCTGTTGATGCTACGGATTAATGTTTGTTACCTTGCGTGGCTTCGCCCATTAGTGGACGATTTGGCTATTTTGGTGTAGTGATAATTATTAATTTAATGGCCTGCTTAAATATATACAAGTAGACCTACATATAGGCTTGCAAAGGGGGCAAAAGGGATAGATAGCTATTAAAAAGTTGACAGGCGCTGCTATGGGTGGGATTGAGCTTCATAAACAACACTTCCCCCTTCCAACCCACTGAAGAGCCCTTCTGAGTGTGCGTAATAAAAATGGAATAAACTAGTAAACCCATATAAACTTCTGTTCAACGCGACTTCCAATATTTACTGTTTGACCCTTCCATTTGGTTTTCGAGTGACATTCTGACTTCAGCATGTCAGCTGAACATTTCAAATTTCTGTCTTGAATTCATCAGTTGCGCTGCAATATCTGCAATATCTGCTACGGTACCCAAGAACCACATTATTACAACGGTCATTTTTGTCCTCAATAATAATCACTTTCAGACGTTGTCGTCAATTCAGAGAAGTACATGTATATACATACGACGGCCACCCATTGTCGAGGAGAGCAGTGGTCATATAAGACATATGACTGTCTCACACAGTGTCTTTATAGTGTTAAAAATTATGAAATAAAACGCAAGGGGGTGAAGATGAGAACTGGCCGTTTGTACCGAAGTTGGTGTTACGCAGGTGGACGTAAGAGCGGGTTCGACTGTAGACACATTAGTATGATATCATAGTTTCGAGTTCCACTCGAAAGAGCAATGGAAAGCTCAAATAAAGGCCTATTGATCAAGAAACTCGGGACAATTACTTTTATTTGCTTTTACGTAAAAACGAGTATGATAAGGAGCATTATAAGCACCTCCAGTCTCAGCTGTGCACCAGACTGCCTCGTGCAAAGTGCACTTTGTATAGCACACGCAGACAGGTGCATTTCATTCGTCCTGAACTACATACAAAAAATCTAGACGGGCTCTGTCTGACCTCAAATTACTGTGCGATTGTTATCTTTAAATTATTTCTGCACTACATACTAAACTCATTTCTTAAATTCAATCAGAATGAAGAAAAAATGGAGGGCGGTGTGTGTGTGTGTGTGTGTGTGTGTGTGTGTGTGTGTGTGTGTGTGTGTGTGTGTGTGTGT